CTCTCTGGTATTATCAGTGGGTTAACCTGTCGGGATACTTGCCCTGGCTTCCACGCGGGCCTCCTTTTATTATACCCTACGAGACTAAATTTTGCTTCCGAGTTTTTGGCTGAACTACTCAGAATCTGGCGCCCGCGCGCGTGTCGCGCAGTGCCGATTGCCATTTTGTGCCGGATCGCGTATTGCAACCGCCACAGGTTAATTAATATTTAATTATTAAAAATTCTATCCAAAATATAGGTACACATTTGTCAAAAACACGTCCGTTATAGGTCCAAAACAGGTCCAAAATAGATCCAAAGTTGGATGTATTTTGGACGTCCTATGGATCTCTAAAGCAGTATCATTTGAACATCCCATGGGCGTCCAATGGACATCCTACGGGCCTTAAATGGACGTACTTTGGACGTCCGAATGTCCAGATGCGGCCGTCCATCAGACATCCTGTGGACATCCATGTGCCATCTGGGTAACTGTTTGCATACTGCTCTTTCTATATTTTGCTTTATTCCGTATTCACGCATCTACACTAAGCACCTTCTTTTTACACAGGCTTTAAAACTTATTACTTACAGTACATTATTATCTTTTCATATGTATGTCGTCCCAAGTTCGAGCGCTTTCTTTTGCACTGCAGAACTTTTATAATAAAGTTACAACATAACGCAGAAGTTGGTAATAAAAATGTAATTTTAAAACATTTTTCCAGATGATTATTGCAAGTATGTATGTGTGTGTCAAACGATTTATTCAGTTTTATTTATCCAATAAACGGAACAATGCATGGAACATATGTCGGTAAAACAAACGGCTTTAAATATCGATTTCATTAATTACTTTATCAATTGCAGGATATGAAATATACTTTAACAACAGTGGATACCTTGTTACCAACAAGGTATACCGCTCTCATTGCAGGTTTCTCTCTGCTGGTATGTGGGTCTCTAGTTCAAGGTAGTACATACAGAGGCGCTACTGGGTAGATTTCAAAATATGTCTGCCCTCAGGCGTCTCTTACTCTCTTAAAACGTTTATGTCCACGTGTTTATCTGATCTCCGTACGTAGACGCTTCTTATTTATTCCATCAATTTGATTGAATTGGACTCGTTATCGCGTAGACGGCAACATACGGAATCAATAAAGAAAGGTAAGGTATTTATCAAAGAAACATACATCAGAAAGAGAAGAGAAAGCATGATTTAATTTCTCGGTATAATTTAATTTCTCAGAGCATAGCTATATGTATTTCATCTAAATTCGATAGATCAAAATGAACAGCACGACCGAGGCACGCGAAACCAATCAAAAGAAACGAAAGAACAAACGTTCTAATGCGCAAATGGCCAAGAAATTTGCTCGTCAGAGAAACGGCCCGATGCAGGACACCCAGCAATACATGATGAGCATTATGGACGTAATACGCAACGATTCGACTTCACCCGAAGAGAAGACGATACTTGTGCGAAACGTTTACCAGGAGATAGCCGGTTGCGAGGTCAAGTGGGCCTGTAACCAACTTGGATCTCTCGCCATGGACTCGCTGCTGAAGTACGCCAACTTGGAGGACATTCGGCAGCTGGTTCGGGCATTCGAGTCCTCTCTAAGGCGTTTGAGCAACGACAGATTTGCTAGTTATATTTTGCAGAAGATAATAATAGTCTGCGCCGACAGGGGCAACAGAGTCGCTGCGTCTAGCGCGGGGAATGTCGCCGGCGACAAGACGAGCACGGAATCGGAGAATGCTGTCGACGCTGCTACGGAAATCAAGCCGTCTGAAGCACAGTCCTACAACGACATCGTTCTGAAGCTGAGCAGATACGTTCTCAACAACAGCGAGGAATTTGTGTTCGATGCTTACGCCAATTACGTACTGCGGACAGTCGTAGAATGTCTGTCGGGATTAATTGAGTATCCTAAAAGTATCCCTGAGAGTTCCCGTAAGAATAAGAAGCACACCATGCCGGATCTCGCGAAAAGACGTCCCGTGATACAGGACTACAAGGCGTTGCTGACACAAAGTTGCGACCGACTACAAAAGTGGCCGCAGTTCCGTCAGTTTGGACGCGAGCAGATGACTTCCGGCCTAGTACAATCGATCTTGTACTCGCTGAAAGATGTTGACTCAGATCTAGTAAACACTATCATTCAGAAGATAACGACAGAATGTTTTCAAACGGGTGAGGGCGAGAAATTATCAGATATATTCAACTCGGAGTATTCTGTCAGAATACTGGAGGCTTGTTTGGTAGTAGCCGAACCGAAAACCTTCGAGGAGCTATATAGAACTCTTTTCGCTGAAAATTTGGAATATTTATGTTCGACGCAAAGCACCAATTTCAGCGTGCAAAAGTTATTGGATTATTGCGTTAATAAAGAAATCTTTGAAGAAATATTTGACAAGGTGGTGGAACACTTTCCAAAGATACTCAAGCAAGGTTTCACCGGGATATTACTTAGCACTGGAAACGCGTGCCTAAGATTGCAGGCAAAGCAAGGTCCATTTGTCAATGCAATGGTCGAGCTACTGAAGTGCGACGCGTCCGGAGAGAATCAAACGCAACTTGTACGATGTATAACGACTTTAAAGAAGCCATCACAGCTGACGGCATCGGACAGTTTAGTTCTCCATTTACACGGAAGTCTGATAATGCAAGCCATATTGAAGTTCAACAAACCCATTAAAGCCGTTAACGCCTTATTGGGGATGAATAACGAAGAGTTAGTGCGGTTGTTCGGCGAACCGAAGGGCAGTCGAATCCTGGACGCTTTCATGGACAGCAAATACATCGGCGAGAAGAGTAGGGAGAAATTGTGTAAAACGTTGCACGGCGCTTGGGCGGAATTAGCCAGGAGCAAGCACGGATCTAGATGCGTGGACAAGATATGGGCGTGGGCGCGCATGAATCAGAAAGTTATCATTATGGAGGAATTGGCCGCGGAAGGGCAATCTTTAGGATCCACGCAACCGGGCAGGATCATTTCCACGAAGCTAAACGTTCCCTCGTTCGCGAAAGATAAGAAGGCGTGGTTGCAATTGCAAGGGAAAGAGGAGAAGACCAAAGCGATGTTTGCAGATGTTATTGGAAAAACCGAGAAATTAAATTCTGTAAGATAATAATCTCTCATTGCGGTACGAGAGAATCTATTATATATGTGCAGTACCGGCGTTAAGGTGGGGCGCGGTTGGGCGATCGCCCAGGGCGCCAAATCTGTAGGGGCGCCGCTGCCTAGCTTCACCTAGTTTGAGAGTGAGAGAGATTCCCTAAAATATAAAAACAAAATGTAGTCCGTCGTTCAATATTATCACCTTGTCTTTTCTTTCTCAAGAATTTCGAGCCCTTGAATTTGAGTGGGCGCCACGATAATCTTGCTCAGGGCGCCAATGTTGCTAAAACCGGCACTGTATGTGTGTGTATATATATATATATATGTATATAAATGGAAAATTATATTTTTTATTATTGAAATATCGAATGCTAATTACGAATTGTATATTTTATCAAAAAAATTAAGCCTACGCGATTTTCATTCAATTTATCCAATTAAATTTTCTCGTAATATAATTACGGGGTATAGTAAACAAGATCTGCTGGTGTTGTTTCTTACATTCTGACATAGAATAATCATATATTTCGTTAGTTTATAAATACACTTTATAGGATCCATCATACATCCCCGCAACGCAATGTGCCTAGGAAAAATTACAATAATTCGTAGTCTAGATTTGAGCAAAGTTCCCTAACGCGTATGACCGATAAATCCGCTTCGTCTTTCCCGTGTTGACTAGACTTAAATATACGTGACAATCATATCCTGAGATGCGTGCGCGCAAAGTAAAGGATTCGAGACTCGCAAGTTACATTACAGTCGTTACAATTTGTTAAACCTATCAATTGACTAGGATAAAATCGATGTGGTTCGTCCCTCGTGTACGAAACATCGAGATGAGCGATAGACATGTGATAAAATGAAATCATTTTGTGTGTATCGTAGCTATGTTTGTTCTGTGCATGTATATATCAACTTCGTCTTGCGACACATATTATTTTCACAACGATATTCTGCGGTGTAATATCGAGATATAGTAAAAAGTTACATCAATGTGAGAGAACACATATTACTCGATCGTTTGAAGAGGAGGAAAGGAGAAACTAACTCGTGCATTGTCATAATTTCATGCATCGTAGATTCAACTGATATCGAGAACAGTAAAAGTTTTGCGTCCCGTTAAATACCTTCGAATAAAGCGAAGGAAGATGTTCGCGTCTTCTAAATCACATCCAAATGAAGTCCATTAATTGGACGAGCGCGTTCTTTTTCTCAGCCCTGCTTCGCGTATATTGAAGAATTTAACTTGTTAACGGCGAAATGAAGAAACGTCTAACACTAATGGGAGAGTTATTTTCGTAACGCTACATTTACCGCTAATATCGATTCAGAACGAATGCGAAGCGCACATCTGCGATTCATTGATCGGATTCACGGTTATCTATTACTCTTTCGGAATTGCAGAAATCGTTTAAGACACGCATTATTTCTATTGTTTGGTTTAATCCTAGATAATAAATGGATTGGAAATCTGCGATTCTCGATGGAGGAGAACGGCTCTGGCACGATGCTGATAAACGTGTACATTTACGACAATACTATGCATATCTCGCCGGCGTTATCTATCAGGAAAACGCAAACGCTCATAAGATCGATTACGCTACTTGTGAAATCAGTTATTCGTTTTCTGTCATTAATCGGTAAAATCTTGAGACGGCTTTGTCGTGCGCTTTCATTCGAAGCGTACAATCGAAGAAGTTTACTCGCCTTTCGCTATCGTGCATTTTTCACATTGACTATTTTTGGTTGTTAGCTAACGGTATAAAGTGAATCGGTTAAAACTGTTAAAATATTAAGTTTAAACTCGAATCGCACTCGAGCAACGCAAATCTTCCAAAGATTCTCCAATCCTTCAGCCGTCTTTTCAACTTTCGTGTGTGAGTAACGCTATTTTAATATAACCGAAAGATTAAGAACGTATCAAATCTGTTGATCGATTACTCGAATATTCCCATTTTTTAATTGATTAAATAATCGTGAAGTTTATTTGTCATCGCGAATTTTAAACTGACTGAAACGCCGGGATTAGAGATCTATTCAGCGAATAAACTGATCATGGAACTAGTATCTTCTGATACTAGTTCGATTATCAGGCATCCTTGACAATTGTATAATCAATTTTTTCGTAGATATATCCCTTGTGAAAAAGCAACGAGATAACTACTAGAAATTTTTCAGTCATTATTTCGTTGCTTTTTTGGATCAGAGAAATTCTTCTTGATACTCTCACTCACGTATCCAGATATATTACAAAAGAAATCTCCGGTCAGCTTTACGGAAAGGAAGGGACACAACGATAAGTGTACGCAGAAGATGTATGATCGGCGAAAACACTGTAGACGGGTGAATGAATTCAAAGAATTGGCGCAGGAATTTATCTTGTGAACATATGAATACCTAATTATCAAAATTAAGTATCGGCTCTTCTTTTTCTTCCGTTATTTCATTTTGTCTTAACTCTTACGGAGACACAATCAGAGTACGAAGGGATCGAACGAACGTCCAAGAATTTCAAGTCATCCCCCCGATTTCGAGGATCAGGCATTCAGTTTTACAGAAACGAGTTCCTCTCGGCTCATTTCAATTCATACATTCTTTACAGAGGAGAGTCTGTGGGAGACGCGCGATCAGCGCGACTCGTAGTCGATCGATCTAATTGAACGCTGGTTGTTCCTAATACCGCGACGTCACTTCCCCTTCGAGACCCCGGCGGACGGCACCGGCGCGGCGTCGACCTCGTTGACGCTCGTAGAAAGATTCGCGGCAGCGACCCTCGGCGGACTGCGCGACGCTGATCTCCGCGGTTCGCGCGGCGGCAGATTGTTACATGTCGTATGATGACCGGCCTCCCAGTCGCGATGTTGGCAAAAGGAGCCGCAGTACCGGGCGATCCCGCATCCTCCGCAGGTCTCCAGAGCGGGCCTGCCGCAGTTCCAACAGCTCTGAAAGAGGTATTCGTACACTCTTAGCTCCTATTTCAATTGTTAAGCACTAATTCGGAAAACAAGCCGAAACAAGCGTATAAAATATTAACATATAATTCGCGTGATGCGAATTATATGTCGAGCGTTGTAAGAGATGAGAGATAGCCGAAAACAATGGAATGAAAAGGACCGATTATAATTAGTATACTAAGATCATGACAATTACACAATCGTAGCTACGTTTATTTTTTAGAAGTCTATATATTAATATATAAAATACATTTATTCGTTAGCGAGTCTAAATACATTAATATTTTTCTACTAGAACGATATATTGTAAGCATCTAAACGCGCGTTGAAAAGATTTTGCAAAGGTGTCGATCAATCGCACGGCTACACTTACGGATCCCATCATGCTGGTGAGGTGGATGTCCTTCTCATCTTCAGTGGTCGACGGCGCCGAATTCGGCGTCGTCGTCGGCGTCGTAACATTTCTGGCGCTGGCCTCGACCGCGCCCGAATTTCCGTGAACCCTCAGGAAAGGGCCCTGGCGGAGGCTGCCCGGATTTCTTTGGGACAGAGGAAGATCCAGTAATCGATGAACCCTCAAACGTTCGTTCGCCCTCGACTCCGCAACCGCAACCGCTACGGCGCGCTGCACCTCCGCCACTGCAGCCCTCTTCACTTCTAACACAGCTTCCTCTGGAAAACCCAATGAAACCGATTTCCGATTAGCACTGCTCAATGACCGCCCGATTTTAATTTTTGATCACTCCAAGTGATGTCTGTAGGAGCAAATAATCTTACAAAAAACTTAAACGCTTTGTCAGCGCGACTTTTCGGTATAATAAAGTTCAAGATTCTCGCGATGAGGAGGCGCGAGAAGAACACCTACCGGCTCTTCGTTTCACCTCGGCTACCCTGTCCTCGGTCACCCTGATTGTTTGCGCGACGATCTCGCCGGACAGTCGCTTCAGACTGCCGTCTCGATCGCCGGTGGACGACTCGACCTGCACACCGTTAGTCGACGAGGGATTATTGCCGTTATTGTTGCCGTTATTGCTGGTGCCATTCTGCGCCGCGACTACACCTGGCAGAGGCGCCGCCGCCGCCGCCGCCGCCGCCGCCGCCGGGCTGGAGCATCCCCGTCGCTGGAGGATCGCCAGCGCTCTCTTCGTCTTCTCGACCATGCCCAGGATGCAGTTGAGCATCACATGGATATTCTTCCACTCGTCGTCGAGGCTGCCGTTCTGCGTCTGCAGGCCGTGGCCCATCGACTGCTGCGGCTGCTGAGTCAGATGATGCGGCGCGGAGAACGCGTTTATCTGATTAATCTGCACGAGACTAGGCGGCACCGGACTCGGCCCGTGACCGTGGCCGTGCGCGTGACCTTGAATCGATCCGCCCGAGGAGTGCAATGGATGGTACCAGCAGTAGGACGGGTCCGTCGGCTGTTGCTGTTGCTGCTGCTGCTGCTGCTGTTGCTGCTGCTGATGGTGGTGGCTCCAAGGATTAACGGATCTCTTGCCGTATACCGGCATATCGTCCGGAAGAACACCGTTCTCATAGTATCTAAAAAAGCATTAAGACTCGCTAACGTTAGCAGGAAGAAGTAAAAATTAAAGATATACAGAGAGAGGGGAAAGTCCCCTATTATGAGATAGGATCCTCATATGGGATAGCGGGGTTTTTGCTAAATTAATAGGCGTCATCAGTTGATTCCACCGTGATTTTATTGCTCTCGGAGCGAAATCTAGTGGAAAATTCATTGTTAGATCGTGTAATCATTGCGAAAAGGATTTGTGATTGAATTTGGGTGTTGAAAACCCGCTATCTCATATTATAAACCTATCTTGTAACAGAAGACTTTCTTCCACATATACAGTACCGGCCACAACAACCTTTTGATGTTTTTAGCACAACTAGTTTTAAAGTGCACGAATGAAAAAAATTGGAAAACCATGGTGTATTTTGCCAAATTTCATTACCCTTCGTGCACAAGCTGCACCGGTCATCAGGTTGTCTGCTGTAAAATCTCGAGCACATTCGACGCACTCTGACGAAAGTTGTGCTCAGAAAAGCTAAAGGTGATGTAATTTGGGCCGGTGCTGCTGATATTCAAGAACGACAGGGTGTATTAACGCTCTGGCAGAATTAACGCTTCGACTATTATCTTAACTATCTAAATCACTAATAGGAAGATTAAAGCACGATTTAATTAATGACATCGTCTAATCATCGAGACGCTAACGTTGCGTTCAACTTGCTCAGCCCGTTGCGCGCCGTTCGTTATGCGCAGAACGCTTTTACTTTGACACGGCGAATTGTTTGGGCATTCAGCAGTCGGCGCGGGGGTGGCCTGCGAATTAAAGACGACTGTCTACGTGTACGCCCACGCTCGTCGACACGTGTGCGCCGCGACGCGGTGTGTATTAGCAGGATGCCAATGGGCACTCGAGGCAAGTTCGTCGGCACTCGTGGGCGAGGGGGTGCGCGGGGGCGCGACGGGGTGTTCGGGAAAGGTGGTGCCCCGATGATATATGGAAACGTCACCGGCAGACATATCGAGAGGAGGCCCAGGGTGGCATCGCCAGGACGCGCGCGCCGCGTTTTGTCGCCTTCGTATTCGCCTCGCGAGAGAGACCCGTTCTCTCCCGTGCTCCGTCCGCGTGCATATCATCCTGACCGGAAATCCCCGGCGTTGATTTCATCAACGCCTCGGTCCGCGGCGGAGGGTGTCGGAGGTAACGAGCGCGCGTTGGGAAATCTCGATCGAAATTACCCTTAGGAAAAACTTATTTCACGACTCAAACTGGCCAAGTAGCTTATTTAATAACTCATTCCAACGTAAAGAAACAAATTATATAATAATATTGTATTTTTCCTTGAAAAGAACCACAATCCGGATGGTTGGAATGAGTTATTAAATAAACTACTTGGCCACAGTTTAAGTCGTCAAATAATTTTTCCTATTGACAACTTAAACTGGCCAAGGTTTCGACCATCAACGTTTCGACCATCTGGATTGTGGTCCTTTTCAACGAAAAAAGTATATATATATATATTTTTTTCCTTGAAAAGAACCACAATCCTGATGGTAGAAACGTTGGAATGAGTATTAAATAAACTACTTGGCCAGTTTAAGTCGTCAAATAATTTGTCCTATTGTTAATCAACTACTGGCGACAATAATATTCTTTCTAAAATCACTCTTCTTCTTCCACACAGAAAAAATGTGAAATCAACTCTTACATATTCAAATGAACGCGTTCATTGTCTTATATATACGCAACAGTCTATAATTTTCTTGGAAGCATTTCATAATCTTACATTCCAATAATATTAGTCTTATTTAAGTTCTATAATTGTCACTTCACAAGAATACATATAATTATTTTGACAGTAATATCATTTTAATCATAATTTGCGATTTAAAAATATATTATTTCCTATCCAATATTGTTTCCTTCTCATTCGAGAAACTTATTTTTAAATAATTATACAAAATTGCTTCATTCAAGTAAGTTTTTTGTTCTTCAACGCGATATAATCTCATTTCAAGATTTTCACGTTGAGACTAAACATATTTTCAAAAAAGAATATTCTTTTCTTCTGTACATATCCTTAACGGCTTGCAGGTCAATAAATATTAATCTCTCATTAATTATTAAAGAGGAAATACAATCCGAATATTATAAAAAAAAAACGGACTTTAAGGTACATGAAGGGCTGGTATACTGTATATAGAAATTGCGAACTTTTATTCGGAATTGCTGAAGATTCCCTCTCAGCGTTTTGGGACACTTTCGCGCGTGAATTATCAATATCAGCGAAGGGTTAAACGCAGCGGAATCAGGCTCGCGTTAATGGGTATTCGATTGCGATAAATATCAGCGTGGTATTCAGGCCGGCGGCCAAGATTTTTCCGAAATTACGGCATTTGCGGCTTGGCAAACGTAATACACGCGCGTATATACGCGCGGCCGCGGCTGCATGGCGTTTATTATCGCGTGAATTACCGTTATGGACGAGCGAAGATTCCACGCGATCTTGCCGCGTGAGAAGCACAATTTGCGCAATAATTTACGCACCTACTCCCTCGCCGCGGATATTTTTCTTCGTCGAGAGAAAAATTACCGTTCTTGCTTTTCTAGTGTAGATATTAGAATTAGATCTATTTTTTGCCTTTGAATTCCAATAGATAAGTCACGAATTATAAGTAGGTTCTTCAAACACAGATTCGTGAGATGGAGACCTAAGAGAATAAGACAATTACCTGTAATTTCAATTTGAGGCCCGTACTGTCCAGAACGCAAATGTGCGTGCAATAAATTCTTCTTTCTCTCTAAAAGTCAATCAGCCGATTATAACTGAAAACAGTGAATAGTCACTGATTTGCAATTACAAGTATACCACACAGAAAAAAAGGATATTCTTCTTTTGAAAAAATGTTCAGTTTCAATGTGAAAATCTTGAAATGAGACTATATTGCGTTAAAGGAAGGAAATCTACTTAAATGAAGGAATTTTATATAATTCGAGCAAAAAAAATATATGCTTATTATTTAAAAATCATTTTCTCGAATGGAAACAATATTGGATAGAAAATGACGTATTTTCCAATCGAAGATTATAACGATTAAAATTATATCATCGTCAAAATAATTATATTATATTCTTGAAGTGACAATTGTACTATTTATAAGACTGTAATATTGTTGGAATGTAAGATTATTAAATGCTTCCATGAAGATCATAGACTGTTGCGTATACTCGTATACAAGACAAAGAACGCGTTAATTTGAGTATATAAGGCCAGTATTCATAGTCAGATCTTACATTCAAGACTGACTCAAGATCATCTTTAGATCCTCCGTAACCAATGAAATGTCCCGTACAGCATCTTCAGATAAATTCAACACGGTCTTGAATATAAGATCCGACTATAAATACTAGCCTAAGAGATCTGACACTTTTTTTCTGTGCACTAAAAATCGCAGTGGTATACTTGTAACTGTACAGTGACTATTCACTGTTTTCAGTGATAGTTCACCAATTGATTTTTAGAGAATTTCTTTTCAAACCGTTTTTCAAAAACCATCAGCTTATCGCACGTACATTCACGGAAAAAAAAATGTAGTTGCCGTAGCTAAAACTGCACGTGGTAACTAAATTTCAGTTGTAAAACATGGGCAATTAATATTTAGTTGCGATAGCTAATATTTTGCTACTGTGCCCATTGTATTAGGTGCGACAGCAAACCGTTTGCTGTGCTTTAGAAATTTATATTGTTACGGCAGCAAAATATTTTTAGCAAACCACGATTGGCGACGGTAGCGAAAATTTGTTTCGCAGTGCTCGTACCGCGGACTCGTATCGGCCGCAAAATTACGTATTTATGAACGAGCCAGCTAAATCGAATCTGTTCATTCACTGCGTCGGAAATAATTAATTCGCACAGCCGAATTCGGTGATCTATCCGAACGGTTGAGAACCGTTTGCTGTGCATCTGCGAGTACAAGGCGATGCGTGTTCACACTCACGGGGTGTCGGAGGCACGGCGTTTCGGTGCATGAGCAGCGCCGGGATAATGGTGCAGCGCGCCCGCGGCGTTACTGCCCACCGCGTGCTGAATGGCGCCGACGCCGGGATTAGAATTCGAGCGCATGGCGTAATGAGCGGAGCACTGATTACCGCCGCCGATCCCGTTCGCACCCCCGTGCTCGCCGAAGACCTCGACGGATTCGCCGGACGGTACCAGCCCCACGGCCTCGAGAACGGCGGCCTCGTTGGATCGTAGGAACTGCACGCAGCTCTGCGAACACAAAAAACGGATCGTGCTCTCCGTTAATCCCTTCGCTGTCTCGTGTCACATAAACGGATAGAATTATTTTCCCTTTTCTTATAGTATATAAAAAAACGCGTGTCTCTTTTTTACCAAGATCACTGCAATGATCTCGTTGCGCTGCGATTAATTCTTCTTTATATGGAGTCGAGTAGTGGCAGATTAAGTTTTCACGGTGACACGCAATCAAGATGAATAAGACGCTCTTATTTTCTATATTGTATTGTAAAATGCAAGGGTAAATGTTTTCAAGTCATAAAACTGATGTGCAATACCGTTTACATCAATTTCCAAAGTAGACTCAATTATTTATAATCAGAACGTTTTGATACATTAGGGAGGGAAGAAAGTATTTTTCCCTGAATCAGGTCGCGTGGGCCGGGGGACCGGGCGGGTCGGCCCGATCGCATCGGTTTCGACTTTTAATATTCGTCTCACTGCTTTCTTTATCGCCGTTCCCGCCACTCGCGACCACCCAGTCCAAGTTCTCGTCGAGCCCCTTATTCCGTCGTGCCCTCCCTTGCCCCAATACCGTGGCAGGGTGGGATTTATCGCTTCTAATTCAATATCGGTACCTTCCGACCCTCGCGCCCTCCTCCCCCCCCCCCCGCCGCCGCTCCCTCCCGCACTTTCGAGCTCTTTCGTTTTCACGACTCGCAATTAACGATCATCGATCGACGGGCCAGGTAGACGTGATGACCACTCGCGCTGTACTGCGCGCGAGACAATTTTCGCGACCGTTTCCCCGGGGTTTACCCGAAAGTTTCTGCTTGAGAAGTGACACGGCGACGAGAAACTTAAGAGACATTCTCGAGCGGAGAAAATAATTATTTATAATTATAGGAATTTATAGGAATTATAGGAATTTCCTAGAAAATAATTATAGGAGAACAATAAATAGGCCAAGTTCTCTTTTTTTTTTTAACACGTAGCCGGTATATTAAATGGGGAGGATTTCACGTTCGGTTTTACGTCTTTGCTGCGTCTGTGTGCACAAAAAAATTAACAAAGGTGTGTTAAGATCCCTTTCTAAAAAAGAGATATTACCAGCGCGAATGTCGTTAATATCGAACAATTGAGGCCTCTTTTCCGCGATGCCGATCGGCTTGCACGAAGAGCGGTGTGCTTCACTTCTCTTTTAGATTCATTTTAGATTCAGTAAATGAAGATTTGCAGTTTGGAAATATACATTTGTATACACCAACTATTGAGGTAAAATCTCTAATCTTAGTAATTAGAATATAAGTAATAGTTTTTGTTTCGAAACATTTTCTCGATTGAACAGAATTAATCGTTAATTTAATCAATACCAATAAGTCCGCGGAATAATACGCAAAACGTAGCAACAGTCACGGAACAAACTAATGTACAATAAAATATTAAGTACGGAATTTTCCATTGCGTAGGCAGGCCAACGAATTCTCAACGTTTTTTTTTTTGTTGTTTTTCACTCGGCGCGGTATCGTACGACGATTAAGCGGGCCAACGAATTCTCAACGTTTTTTTGTTGTTTTTCAGTCGGCGCGGTATCGTGCGACGTTACGCGGGCCATAGTTTGCCTGAAGGTCGCCGCGGTATCACTCGCTCGCCGAACGTCGAGCCGGCAAGCAGTGGCGAGAGTCGCTCCGTGCGTGTCATTACTTTTGCGTTATCGGTTTCCAAGACTCGATCGCGATAAATGTAGGGATAAAACGCTATTGATTTGTCCACTTTTATCAGTAACAAGTAAGTTCCTCGATTAATTACTAAGTTTCTACAACTTGTAATGAGAAACGAATTACATATTGAGACGATGGCTCTTTATCAACGCATACATAGATATTTTACGAGACTAACTCATCTAAAATATGAATCTAAACCGTGGTACTTTGTCGCGGTTACATCTCGTTTACGCACAGCGCTTTTAATTGTCTATTAATTTCGTGTAATTTGTTCCATTTTCGGGAAAAGAGAGAAATTTGTACGATTTCGGTGTTCGCGCTGTAATTCGCTCTGTCGTTCTTCACAATTCAAACGGGCGGGAAGTAAAGAAAGTCGCTTATTGCACGTCGTTGCATTATGTAAATGTAATCGAAAAGTATCTCGATTAACTGTTGCAATTAATAACAATTATTTATCGCTGAAAATTTCGCTCAAACAATTTATTTCGAGGATTAGATTGAATGACAAAGATTGTAAAATATCGTTTTGTTGCGGACTAATAACTACTTCTTTACCGCAGATTATGCTTTCGATGCTCGCGTTGCGTTTTATGTCGACAATTCAAAAGTGTTTTATCCATTATTCTATTCTTTCGAAGCAAAAATGCAAGTTGTTGGTTTGAGGAATTTGTATGATAGAAAGTCACGCGATATTCATTAATAATATTTCGTGCGTTTCGCGGTATTTCACGTCGCGTACGGGAGTGCCGAAATTTCGCGCGATCGATGATTTTCGCGAGTGAGTGTTGTGTAAGTGCAACAAGGAAATCTGAGAGGAGGAGGAGGAGGCCGAGGAGGCATCGGGCAACGGCGGAGCAATGGTGAGGTGAGTGTTTTAGATTTTTATATTATTTGCTACTTGTGCAAAATAAAGTATCTGTTTTCTATTTTTCTTTTATTTTATATTATTATATTATTATTGTATAATATATTATATTACTCAAATGATTCGAATAAGTGTTACAAAACGAAAGTATGAAATTTTGTAAGTTTATATTTAAAAGGAAGGCTTTTTTAGTATTTTATAATTATTTTAATAAACATCTTTATCTTGAAATATACAAAATATAAAATATATTTAATACAATAATTTTGATTTTACATAATTATTTTATAATAATCATATACATATTTGTATTTTTACAGTTTAACATATATGGTTAACGATGTACCTACAACTCTGCTATTGCGAATCGTATCAGTGAGTTATAAATTACCTTTTATTTTAAATTGACGTTGCATACAATTACTTCTTTGCATGTATACAAATTCTTAAAAATATGGTATACAATGCTCAGCCAGAAACTGCGCGCGCGAAGCGCGCGTTTTGTCATTTCTAGTTATTAAAAAAATACCAACTATTCGTCGCAAACGTGTACCAGGCTCTTGTAAAAATGCTAATCCAACGGGCACGAGCGCTTGATTGCTTCATTAATTTTTAAGAAACAAATCTCGCACGAGAAGTTTCGACGATTTACATGTATATGACGGCGAGTTACGCGCGTCGGGAAAGACGTCGCGAAGGGAAAACCGGAAAACCAAGCCGCGCGCCTGCGACTTTCGATCCTCACGTGCGCCTTCGTCGCGCCGGCAGAAATGTAAATGCTCGCTATTAATTTGCAATTCGTTACCCCACCGAGAGCGCTCTGTCGCCCGACGCGACGCGTCTCACTCTTTCCGTTTCGCTCGCCTTCGAGACGGGCAACAGCTGCGGGCAGTAGCGCGAGCGAGAGAAGACTCCCATTAATCCTCCCAGGCTCGAATTTCGCGGCGTCGCGGAAATTAAAGGTGGCGATGTGTATCGATCGATCGAGTTGCAGCGAGCTTCCTCGCGCCAGGGCTTCACGTTATACCGCGAATACGAAACTATTTGATCCCGATGAGGTTCTACCGCAAAAAAAACAAATAAATCGACTCGAAGTCGCGCGCTTCGTCGGGTCTCAGAAGATAATCGTCACTTACAATCAATGTACTAACCGCTCCTTCGTGCAGAAATCACCTTAATTTGTAGTTGGCTCGTTTTTGGAAAGTGTAACAAAAAATATCCCCTCCCCGTGCCTGTTCGCGCGCGTCCGAGTGCACGGCGCGAATACAAGTCGAAGGGACACTTTTTCGTAAATACTCTTAATTTCAATTTGCGCCACCAGATTTGTATAACCACGGTGGAAACGCATATAAAAGCGTTAATGCATTTTCTCCAACGTTAATTCCCCGTAAATTTGCATAAACGCTACCGCCCGATATAAAATACGACGTAGGAGCGTCTTCTTCTTCTTCCTTTTTTTTCGGCGGATAAATAATTGCAAGCGCCAGATTCAAACCAGCCGATGCGTACATGGATGGCCAAAGTATACCGGATTAAATCGTACATCCGCGGATTCAGCGCGAGAAATTGTATGCAAGGGATAATTTTAAGGACGAGATTATATACATTACAGACGAACAGTCCCGAGCTCCCTTATAATTCCCTGAAATGCAGCGTTATTTAATCGGTTCTTCCGCGCGAGCGCGATTCTTTCCACCAAAGCCTAAATTATTTCGTATAAAAAGGTGGATTTTATAAAGGATTTATTGCCGCGTAACTTTACGAATCCCTTAATTCGCCGCGCGCAGAAACGTTTGTTAAGACAAGGATCAACGAGGCCGCGCGTATTTATTTGTTTTTTTCTGTTCCCCCTCGCATTATCGCGAACAATTAAATGTGACTCGCTGAACGTGACATCGCGTGTCACGCGTGATACCGCTCGACTATCAGCCTCCGTGTATCTCGCGTGTATCGCAACGCTATGCGAGAGAATCGAGAAGGAGGGCAAAAATCGTAGCGCTCTCTTTCCACCGCCCGACACCCTCTGCCCGTCTCTCTCCCTCTCGCTGCGTACCGAATCGTTCATCCATCTTGGAACAGACTGGCGTGCTCCCACCGACGATCGGAAAGTAGCCTGGGAAATTAAAACAACCTGCCAGCCGGTCAGCCTTGCCTCTGTTGATTTTACCGTGTCCTCCCGCGCTTTCCGCGTCGCGTTCGTTATACAGAATGTCCCGGACCTGATACGCAATTTCTCACGCAGATTCCGGGATGTATTTGAAATCGATTTTTCCCCTCGTAACGATCTGACGAGACGCCCGCTGCTCGTGATTCCTGCATTATTCAGTACGTTGAACGATACGGTTTCGAATTGACGAGAGTGTCGCTGCTATTCTATAATTTCACAGTTGTACGGCGTCTCGCGTATTTCTTGAACGTCGCTGTAATAATTATTTCACAATTGTGGAAGCTAAAAGTTGGCGCGCCACAAAGAAATAAAGCGGCGGATGCGCCGCCGCGGTCGCTGGCTTGGAAAATGAATGTTATAATCTGGGAAACTGACATCTGACGTACCAGCCGCTTTGAGCGCGGTTTAAAATTTAACTAATGAATAATTAATTATTACTTCATTACGAGATATGAGCCACGTCTAAATCCAAGCGCTCCGTTACGCAGCGCAACATTTTAAAATTACATTATTTCGCTCTACGATGATTTTAATCGGGAAAAAAAAATTAAAAATTCAGTTGGCAGAAACGCGCGATCGTTACCACCGTCGAGATCTTCCAATCGAAGGGCCGTAAGTCCTTTATCGAGACCAATCTATTATACTTTCGCGGAAGAGAAGGAACGCTGTAAAATTTATATTTAGATAACACTCCCCATTAATATTCACGATAATGTATTCCGTCAGAGTTTAAAAAAAAAGAAACGAGCCCTTTTTTTCTTCTCCTTCAAGAATGCCGAGGAAGGAAGGAAATAAAAGTACATCCCTTGGCAGGAGCCCGTGGTGACTCGTCTATTATCTCGAACGGCATACTTTGTGGCTCCATACTGGCCACAATGTCGTGGGGAAGCGAACGCGCGAAAGGATTCGGGGGGGGGGCGCGGCTGCAGTAGTGCATACAAATTTATGGACCGGCGCGCGACCCAAGCGTTAGAAAGAAAGAGGCTGAGAGCGCGCCAGAAGCGAGAGCGAGACGAGAGCGCGAGAGAGAAAAAGAGCGAGCGAAAGAGAGAGAGAGATGGAGGGAGGGTGGAAGAGAGAGAAAGGGGGGAGAGAGACAGAGAGATCAGGCACGTGCGGCATCTTCGAAAGGGCACGGACCGGTTTCTGCATGACAAACGCTGCGGACGGTGATCTTCCCCTTTGCTCAAGATCGCGCTCTTTGCTTCGCGACCGCAGCCTCTTTGGACCGCGAGTCAGCCACGTGCGACGTGGATCCGCCGTTTAGAGCGGCGGCATAATGTCGCGCGGAATCCGTGTCCCGTCTCTCCCTACATCTCGTCGTGATGTCTCTCCCCGTCGGAGAAAGAGAGGGAGAGAGAGAGAGAGTGATAAAAAAAATCGCGTGCGCCGCGTAATGTTGATGGGGCGCGCGCGATTTCACGACGAGACGGCAAAAAAGTCGTGCTTTATCCCCGATAAAACGGTGGCGGATAAATCTCGCTTCCAATTGCGCGAGACGTTGTAAGAGAATTCAAACAATGGCAAATCTTGAGAGATAAATTACGAGGGACGTACGCGGTTGTCTGCATTCGAAAAGTCTGAATGCGGATGTCAACTTGAATCGCTCGACGTTGGTTATAAAGGAATTAGGACATCCGCGTGGAATTAATTTCGACGTGCACGCGAGTGACTTATCCCGATTGCGACAGGTCCCCGTGCCGCGTGGCGCGGCGATTTTTGCGGCGCGGGGAATGCGCGTCTTCATGCATCGTTACGCGCCGCGCCGCGTTGCACACGAGCGCAGTGATTTACGACCGCCATGGTGGGCCCCGATAAAGCACCGGACTGCTTATGAATCAGACGTCACCGTTATTCTCATTGCCGCTTTGCGACACTTGGCCGAGTCTGGGGAAAACTCGTATGGATTTTTTTTCTCCCGCAACACGCGGGCATCGGTCAAAATTTAAAAGTGCAGACTGCTGAAGGGCGGCGCTCGCGAGATAAAAGCGCGTTGCAATGCGGTAAAACGTGGATTGTGGAGTAGCGACAATGATAATTTTACGTCTGAAAAAAGAACGATATCGCGCGACTGGATTTTTATTTATGTTTAATTTTTTTTACATGTGGGAAAATAAATTTTCGCTCGAGTCAGGAACGAAGCGAAAATATGTAAAAGCACGGTGAGTCGATCTTTACCTGATTATTCGCCCTGGCAGCGTTGCTCAGGTCCCTCTGCAAGGAGGGTAGAGTGTGCTTGAGGTACGGCAAGACGAAGCTTCGGAGCGGGAAGTTGGTCGCCTCCTGTAGCGCCGAGTGAAACTCCTCCGCGGTCATGCTGCCGCTCTGCAATTAACGACACGGCGGGCGCCGTGTTGTAATTCAATCCTCGGCAAAAAGATCGGATCCCAAAGCGAAACGCGTTTCCGGAACGAGTTGCGCCGCGCGCGGCTTTGGTTGGATTTGGTTTTGCGTTTGTCACGTGCCGCGATCGTTTTACAGTTAAGCACGGTCACCAGATGTCACGTTTCCGGGACGTATGCACGCTCGGTACACACGACGACATTATGCATTATGTACGTACTTTGAATATTTACGAGCTGTTTAACGACACGGTACGGCCGGCATCGATTAACTATGCCTTTTTTCATCCCGTGCCGCGTGCACGCATGCACATTGCGGAATCGTTATCTGACGCTTGTTAGTTGCAGTCGGCGAATTTTCATGACGTTATTGCCAAAATGTAACCGATCAAGCGTCGTCAAAAAGTTATTATATTTCCCGAGTCGAAATTTTGGCCCTGTGTCAAACCTTTCATTCTATTATACAGAATGTACTAAAACCACCGGATATCCTTTTAATCACAGATTATTTGGAAAATTTCAAGAAAAAAAATTCTAATACAAAAATGTCGAAGCTATAATAGCTTTTAAATAATCAGCGAGTATATTTTACCAATGATAGACCTGAGATTTCGCGCGCTCAGGCACGGCAACATGACGAGTGATAAAAGTGTTCCTACGAATGTCGCCCTTCTTCTTTAATTCAAGTGGAAATTTCCAACGTGTTGTAACTTCAAAGTGTTGCAGCTGTCAAAGTGATCGATCAATATCAGTTACCATGAAGATTGTTACTGTGCTAAAAAGGGCGACATTCATATGAACACTTTTATCACTCGTCACGTCGCCGTGCCTGAGCGCGCGAAATCTCAGGCCTATCATTTGTGAGATATAGATTGCGGTCAAGCCACTGCTACAAGTGCCTCGAAGTATTTCT